TTAGTCCCAGAAACCAGTAATGAAGGAGTTGTGTACTTTAAAAAATAGAACTATTTAGGCAGAGGCAGAAATAGAAGAGGTACTGTTCATTTCCATTACATGACACCCATATTACCACCATGAGAGAATCATGAATCAGGAAACCAAAAATCATGAGATCAGCGCAAAAATAACAAACATTGTGTTCTTTTTGTTATTTCTCTGTTTTTCAATTCTTCAGGAATTCTTCTGTACCTATAAATACAAGAGCTAAAAAAAATCACTTCAAAAACTAAGAAGTGAGATCTTCACATAATCCCGCTGAGTAACTTTTTGAACGCAAATCTGTAAACAGTATGAGATCTACACTAAAATTGTGAACATTAGCCATCTTGCCATCACAGGGTATTTCCTATCTCAGCATCACTTAGAAGGGCTTAACAGGGAACTGAAGCCACACGCAGTTCTTGTTTCAGCTGTCCTTACGAATGGACCCGCTGTCATTAGAGGAAGTTCCAATGACATTTTTGACAAAGACCCAATGAAAACATTCAGTACTGAACTGCTGAGAAGACGCAGTTGCAGCTGCATTGCACAATCCACAACTGCAGTATTACGCTGTTCTCCTACATTCATAGGAACAGTGGGAACATTACAATGTTGGGCAATAGTACCTACTAAGACAAGTGATGGCATTGAAGATGAAAGGCAAAGCCTCCCGTACTACTGAGTGCAGGGACCAGCAGCTCTGCAACCATTTCTTTAATACTATTTTCAAAATTAGATGCTAAGCTAGACAGCAGAAATTCAGATACTAGGAAGTGTTGCAGCTCACAGTGGTGAGAAGCTGAGGAATGCAAAATGGTATTATGTGAAGATGAATTCTTGCTTTGGTGTTAGTCTGTGATCAGCTGAGTTGAGGCTGGTGCCTCTTGCAAACTTCTCTCTTGGGACACCATAGCTCACAGGTCTGCACTGGTGCTTTCCTGTCCAACTCAATTCTCCCTCCACTTGCTGGGCATATCTAACCTCATCTAGCCAAATGCTAGCTTTCTGCTTCAGATGTCTCAGTGTTCAGGAACCTTTAGTTAAATAGAACTCCTTGCTGATATACTGATGAGATAATAAAAAAGAATATATGCACTAGTACTGTAAGCTGCACATCTGTCTCCCAACACACCTGGAAAAGACAACTGCTGTACAAGCTGCAGAGCTGAATGTCTTTTAATTCCTCATTCACTTTGGAAATTCACTTCTGCAAGTTTTTCAAAACTGATTCACAACAGATCTAATGATTAGAAACTTCACTGCAACTCGTTTTTATCACCCACACTCTGTAAACCCCAAACCTTCTTCCTCTCCTCACATCATGACCTCTTGTTTTTCCAACCTGACTTGAAACTGAAAACCCAAGTATAGCAACATTTGTCTCCTTGACACACGAACTCCCTTCAAATTAATGCAGTTTCTGTGAGGGCTGCAAGGCTGCACACTCCTTAGAAAGCAGGCTTTCTGTCTGATCAGAAGCATGTTATAGAAAATACAAACAGCAGTAATGGTAACACCAAAAAAGCAAGATAAAAAAAAATCTAATGAAAACAGTCAAACCAATGAAATGTCCTAATAATTCTACTTTCCCAAAAATGACAGCTGTACAGCAAGGTTGTATTTGCTTGAGAGCAGCCCTGAGAAAAAGGACTTGGGGGTAACGATGGATGAGCTGCCAATGTGTGCTGGCAGCCCAGAAAGCCAACCGTATCCTGGGCTGTCCCCAGAGAGGCGTAGCCAGCAGGTCGAGGGAGGGGATTCTCCCTCTCTACTCTACTTTCATGAGACCCCATCTGGAGTACTGTGTCCAGCTGTGGAGCCCTCAACATAAGAAGGACATAGTCCAGTTGGAACGAGTCCAGAATAGGCCATGAAGATGACAGAGCACCTCTCCTATGATGAAAGGCTGAGAGAACTGCACTTGTTCAGCCTGGAGAAGAGAAAGCTATGGGGAGACCAACCTTCTTTGCTCAGCCTGAGAACAGCTCCATTTGTGAATGCATTTTGGGATGTAACCTGACTTCTCGCAAAGGAACAAAGACCGCCAGAGCCTGTCTGAGGCAGGTATTGGTGAGAAGGGTCAGGAAAAGGCAGAGGTCTGCCCCTGACTGTTCCCATCTGTGGTGCCTACATCCCCCAACCCATGATCT